ATTTAGCACCCAGGGACCAGGATGGTTTCCTCCCTTAGAAAAACACATACCCACACACCCATAATTTTTTTGTTTTTATATTTAAATATAAAAATACTACTCTGCTTTGTGTTATAAATGAAGGACCAAGCACTAAGATCTTTTTCTTTAAGACAGGGCTTTCTATTAGTTTACCCAGCTTTGTGTCCTGGGAAGGGAATGCAGCCCCAAGCAAGGGAAGTGCTGCAGTAGGAGACCAGGGCATTTCCCTCGCTGACTGCCACCCCACCTTCTCTATAGTTACAGCTTACGAAATAGAGCTTTCCACACGAGGGGGAATTCTAACCTAACCTCACCTGGCCTCCTCTTTCAGCAACCTTGAAGAAAATGTACCTCCCTGCTCCCCCAGAACATGCTGCATCCCACAGCCATGCCTAACAGACAGGCACCCCTTCCCACTAGCGCATTAAAAAAAAGCCTCACTGACAAGAAAAAGGGGCTGGGGGTGAAGAGATTAAAAACGTAACACCTCTATCCTGGCCAAAGAAAGCAAGATTAACTGGGCATGAGGAATAAAAAAAGACCTTGATATTCCACCCTTTGAGTTACAATGGGGACAAGCGGGATAACACAGAGGGTGAAGAGTTGGAGTGGGAGGCAGAACTAGGAGGGGCTTGAAGGCTGAGGTCTAGTCCATTTAGTTTTTGTATTGGAAGGGTTCATCTCCGGTTTCATTGAGAAGACACGTGCGGATGAGGGCTTCTGTCACTGAACAGGGGTCACAGTTGGCAGAGGGGCGACGGTCTTCAAAGTAACCCCTCCTCTCCTGGCCGACAGTCCGGGGAATGTGGATGCTGGCACTACGGTTGGCCACGCCAGCAGAAAAGTCGTTGATGTTGGAGGTTTCGTGGAATCCAGTTAGGCGCCGGGCATTGTCCAGGCCCCCCTTGGGATCATAGGCACGAATGTGGTACTGGTGCCGCTTGCTTAGTTTCTCAATGGCCTCCTCAATGTATTTCAGACCATTCTCCTCCATCATGGCCTTGGTACTAAAGTTGGTGTGGCAGCCGGCACCATTCCAGTTTCCAGGAATGGGCTTGGGATCAAAGGTAGCTATCACTCCAAAGTCTTCACATACGCGATGCAAGATGAAACGGGCCACCCAGAGATGATCTCCCATGTGGATTCCTTCACAAGGTCCTATTTGGAATTCCCACTGGGCAGGCATGACCTCAGCATTTGTCCCCGTAATCATGACTCCAGCATACAAGCAGGCCCGGTAATGAGCTTCCACAATGTCCCTGCCATAGGCTTTGTCTGCTCCCACGCCACAGTAATATGGACCTTGGGGACCAGGAAAGCCATTAGAAGGCCAACCAAAGGGATGACCATCTGTGCCCATGAGAGTGTATTCCTGTTCCATTCCAAACCAGGGATGCTGGTTGCTCACCATTTCCATTATCCGTTTACAGGTGTGCCTTAAATTGGTCTCTGCAGGCTTTCGGTTGTACTTGAAAACTTCACAGAACACTAGCTTGTTGGGATCCTTGGGGAAGGGGTCCCGAAACATGGCAGCAGGTACAAGATACATGTCACTATTGGAGCCTTCAGACTGAAAAATACTAGAGCCATCAAAATTCCACTCAGGCAACTCTTCTACACTCTTGGGCTCAGAGTCCAGGGTGCGAGTCTTGCAGCGAAGTCCTTCTCCAGTACCATCAATCGAGAAAGACTTTTAAATGACACTAGAGAGGTGGTGACTCCTGCAGTGCCCATAGCTAGACCAGCAGATATGCCTGGAGTGGCTATGTGGGGCATAATCTGGACAGCCCTTTTTGTTCTGGCCCTTGTCTTTCCAATTAGGGGTATCTCTATTTCTTCATCTCCAGGGATGAGATCTACGGCTGGGAATAAGAGAACTGGGATACATGTCCCTTTCCACTTGGGGGTAAACAATTATATATAGTAGTGCTGCAAAGGAGGGAGACATTTTGGGTTTTTAAGCAGCATATGTTGTTAGTAGGCTGAATCCATAGTAAGGACTGGTTGTAGCCCAACCCAGGGATTTTTCCTACCTCTGTAGTGCCATTTGATATCAGACAAATTGATGCTGGCTGAAACAGTTCTACTCCCGAAATTTTTGGCCCAGTGTTCTTTACTTGGCTAGAGCAGTTGAGAGGATTATCTGTAAAATTTACAGCGACTGCTAGGGTAGTGGAAAATCCAGGTTTTAGGCACATCCAACAACCTAATGCTAAGGGGCTGCTGGTGAGATTTAATACCAGGTGAGCTGAGGTGACTACCCTTTCAGGAAGGGGTTCTTAAGAAAATTGACAAGTTTGGCTTTCGGGATTTAAAGGTGGGATTGAGAATGGCATGTAGCCACTGAGTGATCCCGGTAGCTAGTAGAGTGTTTTTGGCTTGGTCCTGGACTCCTCCCCCGTCAGATATCAACCCAGTAGAATAATAATTCCAACAGAACTGAATGGGTTGATAACTTGAATCTTTCCAATAATTTTCCCAAGGGCAGGTCACCCTGGTGGTGGGTTGTTTAGCCTTTCCGGTCCAGTAAACACTTCCCCCATAAGAACACTTAGAGGCTGACTGATAGCATGAGGAATGGACAGTTCCATAACTAACAAAACTTCTAGGTGTTTTAGTTTTCCCGCTAGTCCCGCAGTCATTGGGGCAAGCAGGTGTAGCAGCTATTGTAAGGGGAACTAAGGCAGCTAGGGAAAATATTATGAATCCTGAATAAGTCTTAGCTTTAAAGGGTTGTTGGTCTGATGAATGGTCCATTTGTCTGCCCTTTCCTTGGTGGGGTCGGGAGCAGGTGCTGGCTTGAGGTGTGTCCAGTGGATCCAGGCTGTCTTCCCGGCTACTTTTACTGCTGTGGGAGTTGTCAGGATCATGGTCCATGGTCCCGTCCACCTTAGCTCCAGAGAAGTGGTAGGCAGCCTTTTAATGTATATACACCAGATCTTTGGGTTGGAAGGGGTGTACGTCCTTCGTGCTGTTGGAAACATGGACTTTAGCATTTGTAAGGGGAGCAAGGGCACCGGGACAGGACCAGTGTAAGTAAGGGGTTCTGGTTCGGGTGTGAGAAGGGTCCAATGGCCCCCTGGTCATATTGGGGAGTCTGGTCTGGGTAGGGCGGAGGAGGGGCGGTTGGATGAGGTTCTTCTTCATCTGCTGCTGGGAGGACAGGAGGGGAGTCTGATTTACCGGGCGCAGGTTTAGGCTTAGTGACTAATATAATTCTGCACCTTCTGGAATGGGCTCTGTCATCAGGAAAACACCTTTTTAGCCATCGGAGTTTCTCAGAATATCAATCCAGACTTGAATGTATGGAATTTGGTCGGGGTGGCCGGGTTTTCGAAATACGAAATATGACCGCTGGAACCCCCCATGGCTAAGGTTAGGTTTATGGAACTTTCCGAAGGCCCATCCCACATCAAAGAAGGGCCAGTCAATCTCACAGAACTTTCTCAAGTTGAAACCATCCATTGAGGTTCCATAGTCAGTTGTCCTCCTTTGGAAATCCTGAAAATTATTTAAGAAACAGGTTAAACGGGTACATGTGTTGTTTCCTATAGAGTTTCCTTGTCCCATGATGCCCGGTACAGGAAAAAGGCCTGAGAGAGAACCCCGGTTAGGAGACCAAAAAGGGCCCAGACGCACACACAACAGATGACCAGATAGACACAGAACAGATTAGGCCACACTGGGAGGCCCCCAGTGGGACAGGAGCGACGTCTGTCCTGTCCCGGGACTTGGTGTGAGCGACTGCGTCCAGTCTGATCTTGTCCCCAACCGAGTTAACTCACCGGACAGAGAAACAGACGGTCGAAGTTCGGGGGTCCGGGGGTGGTTAGGGACTTTTTCAAAACGGAGAGAGGCTAAGGCACATCTCTTAGGCAATCTGGGCTGCGAACCGTGGGAGTAATGGGATCTTGCTGGGCCTCCAGAATGTTATATCCCGCCAGTAAATCCCCTTAATAATAAAATAGTCTACACAGGGTCAGCAGTATTCCAATGGGAAGCCTTTATTACCGGCCGGGGCTCGCTCCACAGTAAAGGAGGGCGGCCCCCAATCCATGTCAGGGCTGGGGTTAGAAAGGGAAAAACCGCAAAGCTCGGTGTAGGTGGCATCTTTCTCTTGTCCTAGCAGCTTACTGCCAAGCAAGCGACTTACAAAAGCAAATTTTTGCGGTCAGCCAGGGGTCCTAGTTCCTCCCTTGACCTGGTTACACCCACTTTATTATTATTTTTTTTAATATTTTATTTTTTAGTTTTCGGCGGACACAACATCTTTGTTCGTATGTGGTGCTGAGGATCGAACCCGGGCCACACGCATGCCAGGCGAGCGCGCTACCGCTTGAGCCACATCCCCAGCCCCATACCCACTTTACATAATAACTATTTTCCTTCTTTGGTGATTATTCCTGGAATCAGTCGCCATCTTGGGGTCAGGTTTGCCATCACAGTTTCTGCGAGTCACTGAGAGGTGCTGGGCCCTTTCAACTTCAGTTTTCGGGTTAATCTGTGGCTTTTGGAATCAGAGTGGGAATTCCCTTGATAGCTCCACTGGGGAACTGCAGGTTATGGGGTCCAAGCTGGGCTCTCTCGGAATTTAGCGAGGCTACAGAAATATGGGTGTTTTCTCCCCTGAACCTCCCATACCACAAACTGCCCTTTACACAACTGGAACCACAGTGACACCGGCGAGAACGTCTCAGCTCCCGGGGACCCAGGATGCTTCTTGAACATTGATTGGCTGTACTTGACGGCGGTGGGCGGGACGAGGCTCCGGATTGGTTGTCAGTACCCATTCGTTACCTCTCACACTGTGCCCGCGCCCGCCCTGCAGCTGAGTTGAGAGGCCGCCAACTCCAGTCCCGGGACTAGGCTGGGCGTAACCTCGTCCTGGGAGCAGGTAGCCACTGAGAGCCCGGGCCTGCAGGGGCGGGGCGTCCTGGGTACCCGTGATTGGCGCGTCCAGAGTCGTCTCCCGTCGTGCACCGCGGCACCGGCGACTCACCCGGAAGGAGAAGCGGTGACTCGGGATATATGGTGGGGTGCTGGCGGTGTCGCTGTGGGGAGCTGGTGCTGCTCTCAGGTGAGGGGGCGTGGGCAGGGTCCCGGGGAGTTGGTGCAGCTTTCAGGTGCGGGGGCGTGGGCTGGAGTGTCGATAGTGGCACTTGGATGTCAGCCTCGCTTGACAACTTCGCCACTCGAAATGAAGGCGAGGACTTGTTGGAGATCCAAGAAAGGAAACCTGGCTTTTCGGTTTACTTTGCAAGTATAGGGTATCTTCCTTCCCACTCCCCAAGCTTAATCCGGAAAGGAAAAGGACCGTGTAACTCTTTTGCTCCTAGTTTGTTAAGAATGGTAGAGGAGTTGCTATAGTAAAAGAGTTTGGGGACATTTACCAAGGCGGCTAGGACTGGGGTGGGGCAATGTGATAGCAGGTAGTTTACTCCAACACAAAGAACTTGACCTAGATTGTGTTGGCCTTGGTCACTTACAAGTGGAAGGAGGAACCGGTGACAGGTGAACAAAAAGATGCACGGTTGAAGTCACACAGAGTTTGGTCAGTCAGGAACTTGCTCTAACACCTGTTGGTATTTAGGAAGAACTTTTTGAGTTTCCATTTGCCATGTGGCACCAAGGGTTCAAGAATAACTAAGAAAGGATGAGAATCTCGGCCTACTCTACTTTTTTAGCCTGTTTTGGTTTTAACTTTTATTTTGAAGTAGTTTAAATGGGAGATAGAATGGTGAGGCACAGGCCTCAAATTGCTACCTTGAGTTGTTAACTTTGGAATGCTTTAAAAGGAATCTAGTTTGTGAACAATCAGGTTCTCACCTAGAGTAAAGGACACTTTGAAAGTGATTGAAAGAGCCCCAAAAAAGCCTGTGAAATTAGCACTAAGTTCTGTAACTGGGAGGGTCACTGAGTCTATCCTTTGAATCATGCACAGATCAATCTCCTATTTATAGAGCTAAGTGTGAGAGAACTTCCTGCTTCTCCTTGAAGGGCAGAACTGAGCTTCATTTCTTTTGAGGAGTGGCATCCATAAGAAGGAGCTGATGGATAAAGTGGTTGCTAGGAATTGTCACTTGGGGTCTATGTTTTTATATTTGTTCATATTTTTTTTTTTTAAAGAGAGTGGGGGAGAGAGAGAGAGAATTTTTTAATATTTATTTTTTAGTTCTCGGCTGACACAACATCTTTGTACGTGGTGCTGAGGATCGAACCCGGGCCGCACGCATGCCAGGCGAGCGCGCTACCGCTTGAGCCACATCCCCAGCCCCTTTGTTCATATTTTTAAGGAAAGTTACAACCAAAACTTTGTCAGTGCCCTTTAAACCTAGATTTAAGTATACAGCATCTCGGGGTCCTGGGTTTTTTTTTTTTTTTTTAAGGCAGTATATAACTACTTGTTTTTAAGTGATGTTGGCCCCAAAGGAAAAGAACTTCCACATGGAGGTGTTGCAGGTCCCTACCAAAATACTCCTTAAGACCAAAGATGTGATGACCTTTCAGTTACTAAATTATGCTTCTGAATTTGGTGTACCTTTCAAGGCACAGGAGATATGTGAGCTCCACTGAGTATGTGGATGACTATGGCTTCATTGTCATTATTTTTCCTATCTTTACTTTCATGAAAAGACACTTTAGAATATTTGATTCACTGTTCCTGTGCTGGCAATTTACCAAATGCTTGAAAAGAGAAGAGCAAATGAATTTTTTGAAAACAAGGTTAATTGTTCACAGAAAGTATGTCTGCTCTTCTTGGTCACAGCCGTTTGATTCCTTACATATGGAAAGCTATACATGGGTTGTTAGGGAATTGGAATTTCTTTCTTTTTTGTTTGTTTCATAATAATAATTTACTAATAATAAAGGAAATCATATAATTGTCACACAAAAGGCATTTGAAGGAATTGGAATTTTTTACCTTTCAGTTCAAGACCCCTTGGAGGTAGTGACTGCATTAAATGAAAAATCAGATTGTCAGCAAGAATACTGTTTAATATGGTATTAAAATTGCAAAACCTTGGGTTTACTCCACAGTGTAGCCCAATTTTGTCATCTACCATGTAGCTTTGTCTCTGCATGCAATGTCTGTCTGTAGAGAGACCTTCTGGTATATTGGAAAGAATTGCAAAAGCTGTTTGCTCTGCTAATTTCTTGCTGTAAATGAGTTCTCCTTCTTTTGAAATGTTAGCCTTGTGTTAGCAAAACATAAAATAGAAGGAAACTCATTACACACTCTTCTAATGGTAAGGCAGAACTAATAAGAGAATGTGTTTAAAATTAATTGTGGGACTGTAAAAATGAGTGGGTGTGTGAATGGGCATGGGGGGGAGGAAAGGGAGAGCTTCGAGATAGTCTTGTTTTCCCAGGAGTCAGCCCGGATCATTTGTTGGCAGTACATATTGGCTGAAGTCAGTTTTCATTTCAAGGTAAATTGGAAAGGGAAATTAAACCTTATTGTTCCGCTCTTAAGAGAGAGGAAGGGGGTGGAGGCAGCAGCCAGAGAGGATGCTGTTGGAGTGGTTCTAGGAGTAACAAGATTAGTGCTGTATTTTAACAGAAGGTGACATCATGGGCCCCTTTGGACTTGAGTAACCCTGTGCTGCAGCCTTCATGGTCCCCTTGTCGGAGTGGGCGATGTCGCTATACATGTAAACTACCACACTGGGGGAAATCATGGGCTTAGGCTTTAATGAATCTTTACAAAGGAGCAGAATGCATCCTGACTCAACCTGCGCAGCTGTGGGGTGCTTGGGCAGAGGTACAAACCGGATGGCATGTCGAGAGAGAGGAAATGATTAGAACTATTGGCTCCAGTTCCAGAGAACAGATTCCATAAAGGAAGGTTGCAACTGGGCAGCCCACTCAGGTGCTCCCTGGAGCATTCCAGCTTCATGATTCACCTGTTGGGAGGTGACTGTGGTTAGCAAGACAAAAGAAAGAGATTCAGGAGCATTGGTATTTGTGGGAATGCGGTTGTCTCTAAATAGCCAGGAGGGGGCACTGTTAGGCTCATTTTCAAAGCTGTACTCCCAGCGCCCACTAGACCTGCTGCACCCACAGTCCTCAAGGCAAGAGTTTCTGTTTTCAACTGAACCTGCCTTTCTGGTTGTCTGAGACAAACTCAGCAGATCCCAGTGTACTTTATGTAGAGATGGCTTTGTAGAGGAGGGTCCCAGAAGGGGTCTAAGAAGGGAAGCAAATCCCTCAGGGGGACTCTCTTAAAAGTTTTTGCGTTTTGCCCTGGCAAAGAGCAATAAAAATAGAGGCATATTAACTAACCATGATTATTCCTATATCCTCTGTCCCTCTTAGATGTTTTCTTCCAATGGGTGTTTGGTGTAGGATGTCAGAGAACCAAGAGCAGGAGGTAAGAATGGTCTCCAGGAATGGGTGGGTAGCAGGTGGAGGGGGTGTGAGGGGGCAGTGAAGACACAAAGGTGCAAATCATTGCTCAGTGGTGTTCTTTCCACTATAATACCTTGGTGGTTCTTATGAGCTCAAAATAAAGCTAGGAGAAGGAAATCAATAGCAGCAGCATTGCTGAAAAGTGAGGCTCCATTTTGACAAACTTTTCCACTAGTTGGAAAGTATTGGAATGTAAGTTTCTTGAGGACAGAGATTTTTGTGTCTTGTTCACACTCTGTTCCCAATACCTAGGATTGTGTTGGACACATAGTAGATACTTAGTAAATATTTGTGGAATTGAGTGAATGAAGAAATGGTTGAAAATTGGTGTTGGAAGGGAAAAATCTGGCAACCTGTGTTCCTAAAGCTATCTTGCTGTGTGGCTAAGCTGAAGCTGAGGGAGCATTTTTTACCTACAGGAAGTGATCACTGTGCGTGTTCAGGACCCCCGCGTGCAGAATGAGGGCTCCTGGAATTCTTATGTGGATTATAAGATATTCCTCCACGTGAGTGCGTCAAAATTCTGTATTGGGGTCAACATTTTCTAGGACTGAGGGCTTGTGCTGAGGTGGAACCGGTTTGTGGGTGTTTCCAGTGACCCAAGACAGAAAACTTGGAAGAAAAGAACGGAGGGAGGAGAGGGAGGAGCTTGAGGTATTGCTTTCAGGCTGCCCGGTGGCATCTTGCTCTGCTGGGGACCCCAATCATGACTGTGACTAGATAGCTTGGTTCCTCAACGGAAGTGCTGATGGGGAGCTCATGTGAACTTAGTCTTTTTCCACTTAACTCCTTTCACATACTTCCTCCACTGTTTCAAAATAAAAACTAAATTTTAAACACTTCCTGCAGACCAACAGCAAGGCTTTTACTGCAAAAACTTCCTGTGTGCGACGCCGCTACCGAGAGTTTGTGTGGCTGAGAAAACAGCTCCAGAGGAATGCTGGTTTGGTGTGAGTTTGCTCTTGCTTCCTTCTTGGGTCTGAGTCAGGCTTTTTAGGTGCTTACTTGGAAATTTGGAGTTGACAGTGAAGAGAACTTGAAACATGCTGGGAACTAAAGAGACTATGAAATGTCTCCTTTTTTGGTACTGGGGATTGAACTCAGGGGCACTCACACTGAGCTATATCCCCAGCCCTATTTTGTATTATATTTAGAGACAGGGTCTCATTGAGTTGCTTAGCACTCTGCCATTGCTGAGATTGGTTTTGACCTCACAATCCTCCTGTCTCAGCCTCCTGAGCTGCTGGGATTACAGGCGTGTGCTACTGTACCTGGCTCTTTTAATATTTTTTTTTAGTTGTCAGTGGACCCTTATTTTATTTATTTATATGTGGTGCTGAGACTTGAACTCAGGGCCTCACACGTGCTAGGCAAGTGTTCTACCACTGAGCCACAACCCCAGCGCCCAGCCTTTTTTATTTTGAGACAGGGCCTTGATAAATTTCTGAGGCTGGCTTTGAACTTTTGATCCTCCTTCCTCAGCCTCCAGAGTTTTTGAGATAACAGGCATATGCCACTATGCCTGGGGATTGAACCCAGATTGAACCCAGGGGCGCTTAACCACTGAGCCACATCCCCAACCGTTTTTATTTTTTTATTTCGACATAGGGTCTCATGGAGGCTTAGGGCCTTGCTAAATTGCTGAGGCTGGCTTAAACTTTCAATCCTTCTGTCTCAACCTCCTGAGCTGCTGGGTTACAGGCGTGTGCCACTGCACTCAGCTTATATTGTTTTAATGTACTTCTTAGTCTAAGGTTTAACAGACGTACTGCTAGAATTTTATATGTGCTTATCACTAGTTATCAGGAAATTTTAAACACCTGGGCTCATTTGACAAGAATGTTCTTATTCATTTGATATGTAAAAATGTCATTTTTTTTTCCTTTTAAGTATAGCACTCCTTTTCCAGAGATACACCAGAACTTTAGGAAAGACAGTTATTATTCACTTCTCACTCACTCCCCTTGTTACATTCTAAAAGTGGAGAGAATGAGAATAGTGATTTCCATTCAGCTCAGGAGGTTGAGAATGGACACCCAAATGCTAGGTGGTAATGGATGGATGGCCTGTTGAATGACCTACTCCAGGAGGCCTGTTTTTTTGTTTTATTTTGTGGTATTAGGAATTGAACCCAGAGATCCATGCATGCTAGACAAGTGCTCTGCTACTCAACTATATCCCCAACCCTTTTATTTTGAGGTAGATTCTTACTAAATTGCCCATAGTGGTCTCAAATTTGTGATTCCTGCTTCAGACTCCCAAGTAGCTGACCTTATAGTATGTGCCACCACAACTGAGCCTGACTGGCCTGTTGTTTTTTTTAAAAGTATGTGTTATATAGCCAGGTGTGGTGGTGCTACTTGGGAGACTGAGGCAGGATGATCACAAGTTCACTGCCAGCCTGAGCAACTAGTGAGACACTGTTTCAAAATAAAAACTAAAAAGGGCTGGGGATTCAGCTCAGTGGTAGAGTGTACCTGGGTTCAATCCCTCATACTCTAAAAAAAAGTATATCTGGGCATGGTGGTGCATGCCTATAATCCCAGTGGTTCAGGAGGCTGAGACAGGAGGATTGCAAGTTCAAAGCCAGTCTTAGCAACTTATGAAATAAGTTGAAATAACTTGGTCCAAAAAAAAAAAAAATACTATTGTATTTCCTAAGAGAGGCTAGAAGCTAGGAAAGTTTAAAGAGTTGGTGGATGACTTACTTCAACTCAGCCACTTTTAGAAAATTTCAGGCATGAGACTTTGTGTGTCCATTTTATTTATTTATTTTTTATTTTGAGACAGGGTCTTATTAAGTTGCTGAGGCTGGCCTCAAACTAATAATCCTCCTGCCTCAGCCTCACAAGTTGCTGAAATTAGAGGTGTGTACTATTGCACCTGTGTGGTTTTTCGAGTATTAAATGAAATGTTTGTTAATGATGAGCATAGTGCCTGACATACAGCGCTTATAAGTATAAGCTAATTGTATTGATTTGGCATCTTTTCAGGGAATACTTTTTTTTTGGGGGGGGGTACCAGGCATTGAACCCTGGGGATGCTTAACTACTGAGCCACATCCCCAACTCTTTTTATCGTTTGAGATACGGTCTCGCTAAATTGCTGAGGCTGTTTTTGAACTTTCAACACAGGGTCTTGCTAAGTTTCTAAGGCTGATTTTGAACTCGTGCTCCTTCTGCCTCAGCCTCCTGAGCCACTAAGATTACAGGCATGTACCAGTGCTCCCGGCTTCAGGGAGTCCTTGATCAGAAACTGGAGTGACTCTCTTGGATATTACCTTTATCTTGGATGTTACATTCTATGACTCCACAGGCCTGTACCTGAACTTCCTGGCAAGTCAGCCTTTTTTGGCAGCTCGGATGAGTTCATTGAGAAGCGACGACAAGGTCTGCAGCACTTCCTGGAAAAGTGAGTGGATATGCAGAGCTACCCCTGGCTGCCAGGGTAGTGGTGGGGTGGGGGTGGGGGCAGCAAAAGGCGCCAGAGGGGATGTAAACCCTGCCCTGTTTATGGAGGCACATTTGTGCTGGGCACTTTTTCTTGTGCCCTCATATCCTCAGTGCTCACTGGCTAGAAGATCATCAGAGAAAGAGATGGTGAGCAGTTCCTCAGGGTGATGCTCTGTGTTGTGCTCCCTGTGTCACTTCAGGGTCCTGCAGAGTGTAGTCCTCCTATCAGACAGTCAGTTGCACCTCTTCCTGCAAAGCCAGCTCTCAGTACCTGAGATAGAAGCCTGTGTTCAGGGCCGAAGCCCTATGACTGTTTCTGATGCCATTCTTCACTATGCTATGTCAAACTGTGGCTGGGCCCAGGAAGAGAGGTCGAGCGCCTCTCACTTGGCTAAAGGAGACCAGCCTAACAGGTAATTGGAGTGTTTCTTTGAGATATCTGGGGTTGGGGTTACTGCCTTGGCCAGTAGGGTGTCTGTTAGGGAAAGAAATGTTACAGTGGCCTTTCAAAAGACCTTATTCTCTGAGTGCATGATTCTCTCATCCTGAATGGGTAGCAGGGTCTCTTATTGAAACCCAGGGAGAAAAAGGGGGAAGGCTTTCTTATTTATAATATTTTTTACCTGCCTCCTCTTTCAATAAGAACTTTATTGATACAAAATTCACCTTTTGTTTTGTTTTGTTCTTTTGTTTTGGTGGTTTTAGGCATTGAACCAGGGCCTTGTACATGCTATCATGCTCTAGCACTGAGCCATATCCCCAGCCCTTTTTATTTTTATTTTGAGACAGTCTCATCAAGTTGCCCAGGCTGGCCTTGAACTTGTTATTCTCTTGCCTCTGCCTCTTGAGTAGCTGGGATTATAGATGTATGCCACTACACCTGACTAAAATTTACCTTTTTAGTAGTTTTTAGTAAATTCACAGAGTCACTATTGTTGATTTGAGAATATTTTCATGTTCTGAAAAAAGAAACCCTGCACCCATGAGAGTGACTCTGACTCTCCATTCCTCCACTGGCAACCATGAGTCTACTTTCTGTGAATTTTCCTACTAGGACAGTTCACACATGAGGAGTCATACATGGTTTTGCATAACTGTTTTTTTTTTCCACTTAGTGTAATATTTTCCCAAGTTCATCCATATTGTAGCATGGTAGCAGTACTTTATTCTCTTTTATGACTGAAAAATATTTCATTGCATGAATATACCACCTTTGGTTTATTTATTCCCTAGGCCCACCCATTCTTTTTTTTTTTTTTTTGGTCACAGGGGTACTTAACCACTGAGCACATCCCAAGTCATTTTTATTTTTTATCTTGAGACAGGGTCTTACTAAGTTGCTGAGGCTGATTTTGAATTTGTGCTCCTCCTGCCTTAGCCTCCCAAGCTACTGGATTACAGGCGTGTAACCACCATGTCTGGGTGCATTCATTTTTGCTTCTCTGTTCATAAGTTTCTATTCCTTTTTCCCTCTTTTCCAGTTGCTGTTTTCTTCCAAGATCAGGGAAGAGGAACTCTCCCTCACCACCTCCCAGTGAAGAGAAGGACCCTTTAGAAGTGTGGGTTCCTGTGGTTGACTCTGAGGCTCCTTCCTTGGAAAGTCCCACCCTGCCACCTCAATCTTCATTGTCATGCTGTGATTTTTCAAGATCTGATGAGGAAACCTCTGCTCTCCAGCCTGTGAGGAAGGCTATGGGAAGGGACCATGCTGTGCCTTTGGACCTGGATCAGTTAGACTCAGTTTGGGAAAAGTGAGCTCTGTTCTGTTCTTCTCTGCTCTGCTCTGCTCTGCTTTGAGGCAGATGAAGGAGATGCAGGCCATGAGTTTTGGGCACAGGGCAGGTGTGGGGGAAGTCAGGCTGCTTAGCATCTGACAGTTGCCTCTGCTCTGGTTGGCTACATAGAGGTTGGTTGTGACTGTCCTTCATGCCTCTTCCATAGGAACAGACACCACACACTTGTTTGTAAGTTAGGCCAGAGGTTGTTGGTTTTGAATGGAACCCTGTTTTTACTGTTGCAGGAGTTGAGTTTCTTCAGGTGTTTGTTTATAGGCTCAGGAGCACTGCCTCTAGTGACTGGTTTTTGGGACCTATATGTGGTAGATTCTAAGCTGCCAGATTGAATATTGTCCCAACAGGGATGCTTATATAGTTATATTTCCATCTTGGCTGGCATCAGTTTTTGCTGCAGCCCCTGGAGCACTTTGTTTTAGAGAGGCTGGCCTCTCTCATTTACCTCTTAGAATGACTTCCATCACTAATACCACTGAATGGAACTGGTGCTGTGACTCTTGTTGCTGGCATTTCCAGTGGATCCCAGGACCTCAGTTGGGCTAAGTGGAGCCTAAGAGCCATGCGTAGCTTATGGCTCATGAGAGAGAAGGGGTGGTCAGAGGAAAAGGCAGCATATCAGGGGCTTTGTTTTGGAAAAGGTTGTCCTGGGCTGTCACTGCCTTCTGCTTATAAAGCAGAACCTTGGTTATCTTTTCTGCAAGATCAAAGTGGGTTCTTTTCTTTTTTGAATTCTTCTCCTTTAGTAATAGCTCCCTACCCCCAGGGCTTCATCCGCCACTGAGTCCCTCTGCTGTGTTGCAGGGAGGCTGTATATTAGTATGTTCAGTCCAGTGGGGCATCCGGGCTTTGTTTCTGCCTGGAAAAGAGGGCTCTGGGGATGGAGATGAGAAACAACATGCCTTCCTTCAGACAATGAGGCATTCTGCCCTCCTGCTGCCATAATTCCTCTCCACTGAGAGCCAGAGCTGATAGGAGCAGTGCTGCTGGCTTCCTGCATTGCTCTGCTCTCGGGTTCATGTGTGTGGCTTTTACCCCTCTAGCCCACTCCTCCCCCCTCTAGTGAACCTGCCTGTCGGTGGTTTCTTTTACTACCAGCCTCTGTTGTGGGACTGTCATGGCATTTAGTTCAGAGTTGAGGGGCTTTGGCCTGAAATAAAATGCAAGTATTTAAGACTGTTGTTGCAATTTGTGTCTAACAAGCTGTAGCAGAGAAGGAGGGAGTGAGGGCTGGCAGTAGTTACTTTCATAAATCATGAATTTATCAGCATGGAAATAATGGTTCAGGACTGTGCACTGTAGCTCTCCTGCATTGTGTGTGAGCTCAAGTTCACCACTGGAGGAAGGATTGTCTTCCAAATACTCAGGATCCAGCTCTTCTCACAGTTCTGGGCATGAACCTTGTTAGGTATAATTTACCTGATGCTGCTTCCATCCTCGAAGCCTGTCTGAGGTGCCAGGTGCTAAAAGAGAAATAAAGTTTGTCAACAGGCAGATGCAAAACCCTGGCTGGTATTCATCCTTCTTTCCTGCCCACCTCCCCTGGGTCTCTTCTTTATATGATGCAGCAGAGCAAGGCAAGAATAGAGAACCTACAGAGGCAAATCCAAAATGTCAAAAGAAGTTCATTTAAAAGGGGAAAAAAACTCCATACACAACCCTCACAAAAACCCGACAGATGCTAAGCTAATGGCATCCGCTCTGCTGATTGGTGGGGATGGCTCATGAATATTAATGAGTCCAATGCTCCAAATGGTGCAGCTGTGAACCCAGCTGTGCCTGAAGCTCTCTGATCTCGAAACTTCCAGACAGGAGCCGGAGGTGGTCTGTGTCAATTCCCTACTCAGCCAAAAAACAGCAAGCTGGGTTGGCCTTCTTCTGTTCGCCCTTCTCTTCCTGGAGTTGGTGCTCAGCAACTAGTTGTGCCAGCAGGCTGGGCTGCTAGGACAGCAGGCACTGTTCAAAGACGTGGATGTGATTTTTCTGACTCCCAGCTTTTTTAACGGTCCATTAGCAGCAGAGCATACAACACCTCAGTTAATCTGCGGCCAGCGCTGGCCCCTCTTGGTCTTGTGATGAGTTGAGTATGGGCTGTGGAAGGAGATGAACTAAGGAGAGAGCTTTCCTAATAACATGGGCCTGTGTACCAGAAAAACAGCAAAGCTTGACTTTCCTCTTCATCCAGACAAGCACCATATGCCCCCCTTGTGTATTTCTTGCCCTGTGTGTGCTCAGGTCTGTGCAGCACAGCTGGATGACTTCTATGAAATGGGAGTTGCTAGCTGGGGTGAGGGGATGGCCCATTGAGCTGTTTTGTAGAATGAAATTATTTTTTGTTTAGATTTGCGGTGTAAGGCAGGGTCAGAGCCTGCTTTAGTCATATTTTCTCTGCTAGCTACTTCCCTAGTCCAAGTCTAGTCTTCTGTTACCTAGGAAAAGTGATCTAAGCTCAGAGGTAGGGATTATTTGGTGGAAGTTTGTATGTTGGGGTCGGGGGAAGGGGTTAGGTTTTCTTAAAAAGAGTAAGTTTTATATGAATCACTTTATTTGACCTTCTCAATGCCCAATGAGGAAGGAAGGTAGGGACTTTTTATACTCAATTTCTGACTGAGCAAGCTGAGCTGAATGTGACTATTAAGTATGTTTGGCTGGACATTGTGGTTCCTGCTTTGGGAGGTTGAGGCAGGAAGATAGCATGGGTGAGGCCAGCCTTGGCAATTTAGCAAGACCCCGTGTCGAAATTTAAAAAAAAATTAAAAATTTAAAAGGGCTGGGGTCGTGGCTCAGTGATAGAGAACTTGCCTAGCATATGTGAGGCCCTGAGTTCAATCCCTAGTAACACTGAGACACACACACACACACACACACACACATGCCTAGGCCCTACTCCAGACCAGTTCAGTCAGTACTTCTCAGTCTCCCAAATAGCTGGGATTACAGGTGTGTGCAAATTTGCCAGGCCAAAGACTTTTTTTTTTTTTTTTTGCAGTGCTGGGGATCAAGCCCAGGGTCTCTCACATGCTAGGTGAGCACTCTACTATTGAACTACGTACATTCACAGCCCCTCAAATCTCTTTAAAAACATGTTAAATCCACTACTATACTCAAGGGGGGAAAATCTCCCTATAGAGCTTTTCTGAGTACTCAGAAATCAGGTCATTCACAGTCCTTAGCTTCTGATTGCTGAGGACTTAAATCCATACTACCAAGTCCTAGGTACCTCCCATCCTATCTGATTTACTTCACAGGCTTTTAACATTTAGATTGGGCATAGTTAGCACCATGTTTGTGAGTTTGTTTATACCCCTCAGCTCTTGCTGAATATTAACATCCTGGGGTGGAGGGTGGATAGTGAGCCTGAAGGATGTGAGGAGGCCTTGGTAGAAAGGGGACTAGGCCAGCCTCTGGCCTGCCTCAGCCTGCAGGAGTGTTACATTTGTGGCCTCTGGATTTATGTACTAGCAGCCAGCTGAGACATGGCTAGAGCCAACCAGATGAGCACCACAGTGCAAGATGGCACTTCCTTCTTTAAGCACTGGGCAGTGATCCTGAGTGAGGGGTGGTGTGTGCAAATTTGCCAGCCAAAGACTTGTTTTTGCCAGGCCAAAGACTCCTCTGCCAGCAGGAGTCAGTTCTGGAGAAGCCGCACAGCCAGGCTCAAGGTAACCTTTGGACTGTGGATAAGGATCCCCTTCCTCATCTTCTTACCTAATACTGTGCCTTCTTTCTAGAGGGTTTCCTCAACCCACTTTGGAAGCCCCCCACCCACCTTATTTCTCATCAACTTTTGCTACAGCTCTTCTCTCTAAGGAACTGTTTCGGGAAATGCTGCAAAGACCCAGTGTGCTTTTGGTTTACCAGCAGGGCAGTAGGGGCCAGGCCTAACATCTTGAGAGAGGGACAGTTGTGGTTCAGTGATGACTGCATTTGGAGCTAGAAAGCTGGAGACCTCTGATTTCAAGGAACAGTAATATAATTTGTGCTCAAAGTGATAGCAAGAGCCACATTCCGTAGGACTCAGTGCTCCTAAGTCAATCAGGGAGCAAAGCAAACATTTTACTTTTGGTTCAGGGGAGATCTGGTCTACTTCCGTCTATAAGCAAAGAAGAAACAAAGGGCACTGGACTTAAAGGGGCATGGATAATAAGTAGAGGACGGTAAGGCAAGGGTGAGGTAGTTAAGAGGCGACTGGAGAGTCCTTAAGGTTTTCCCCTTGGAATGGCAGGAACACAAGCTGCTTCTCTAATCTTTGGATTGTGGGAAGCCACCAGTCAAAGTTTCTTTTTCTATGTGGCAGTCAAGTCCCTTCTTCTTGTCCTTCACCCAAGCTATTTCTTTTCATACCATCAGTTTTGAAGGGGCCTTTTATTTCATAAGTGCTTTAGCACTGTGTGTTCCTTCCCAGAGTGGCTCTGTTGGTGTGGGAAGCCTGGCCCACCAGCAGCCAGTCCCTCCGGCAGAAGGCCCAGAATAGTGAGAGCCTGAGGCAGTCTGTTGGAGGCAATGCAACCTGCCTGCTGTAAGCTACGAGACTTAGATATATTCTACCAATTAGGACACATCTGTTCTAAACGCTGAAAGGCGGGCACTGTCTCTTTAAGAGCCATCCCACTCCTCTCCTTGAGTGATGAGGGCTGGGAGCACAGGGGAGTCGGATGCTGATTAAACAGTCCTACTGCCGAGCTCTGTTAGAAAATTACTGTAATTATGATCTAGTCCCAGCAGAGGGATGAGTTCCAATCCTGCTAATAACCCTTCCAGGTGCCTCAGATTCTGGGCCCAGGGGAGGCAGCATCGACAGGGCTGTGGCTGGCACCAGGACCAGCGCTGGCCGTCCTGTCTGGCCTGCACAGGCAGACACAATAAAGGCACCAGACCCTTCATCCTGTCTGGGCCTCTTGAGAGGGCAGTGGGTTCGCGTTGTTTTGTTGTTTTTATTTAGTTTCTGGTTCTTGACAGAGCTCCTGGGAGTCATCTTGTATGAGAAAACTTTCTCCTAAACTAACACAGAGGACCGAGAAAATCACAGCCGCGAGATAGCAATCTGTTTTGAATCTCCCCACTTCTGCCTGGGGACTGCAGTCAACACACCCCAAGTGTGGTGCACAGTGCCAGCCTGACCCAGTGTGATGTCAGGGAGCCTGGGCGCTGCACATACCCTACCAGCTGCCGTGGAAGGACTGCCTCTGCGTTATTTCTGGGACCCCGTGTTCTGAAGTCATACACACAATTTTACTCATTCCCAGTCAAGGGTTTCGGTGCTACCCTTTTCCAAGTTTACCATGGGAAAGGGAAACAAGGGATGGTAACTACAGAGCTCTACACATGACAGACTCACTACCTCTCCAAACTGGTGAGGGTGGTCATATTCAAGCGTCATTTTCCCAGTGCAAATCTGTAGCAGCGTGGGCTCACAGATCTCAAAAGAGCAGAGGTCCTGGCTTCCTGGTTTTTAAGTCCTGAAGCATTCCTGGAATTTATGTGCTTATCTTCCCACCCCTGCTATAAACCAAGGTCATTGTCGTTATCTAGTGGTCAAAGTACAAACTTCTAGAAGCCCGGGCACTTTGTCTATGCTTAGCTCCCAGCAGGCCCCAAATGCCCTGAGACAGTGATTCTCACCTGAGGGGATTTTTCCCCAAGGGGATGTTTGCCACTGCCTGGAAACATTTTTGTCATAACTGGGGTTGGGAGTGGAGTAGATGGGGGAGAAGTACTGTTGGCATTCAGTGGGAAGAAGTTGAGAGATGCTTCTAGACCTCTTACGATGCCCTCAACAATATATATATATTTTTGGTACCAGGCATTGAACCCAGGAGCACTTAACCACTGAGCTACATCCCCAGCCATTTTTATTTTTTTTTTTTTGAGACAGGATCTCACTAAGTTGCTCAGGGCCTGGTTAAGTTGCTGAGGATGGCTTTAAGCCTGCCACCACGCCCGCTACAAAATAGAATTTTCTGGCTCAGGGCTGGGGTTATGGTTCAGTTGTAGAGCGCTGGCCTCACATGTGTGAGGCACTAGGTTTGATTCTCAACACCACATATAAATAAATAAAATAAAGGTCCTTCAACAACTAAAAAAAAAAAGAATTTTCTGGCTCAGAATATCAATAAAAGTGAGGTTGAGAAACCCTGTACTAACAGCATGAAGGCGTTAGCTCCACATTCTGCCCCACTAAACTTGGAGATGTTTAAGAGATGATTTCAAATCTCCAGATGCTTTCCCAGAGGTGGAACATTGATGACTGGTCCTGCAGAGTGCGAGCTCCCAGGAGTGGTGGCATGCAAGTGCTACCTTGGTGATTTCATAGCATAGTAAGGCCAGTGTGTCCCACTGCAGATAAAAGGGAAATGTTTGTGCTGGACACAGTGGCCCACGCCTGTAATCCCAGCAGCTTGGGAGGCTGAGGCAGGAGGATGGCAGGTTCAAAGTCAGCCTTAGCAACTTAGCAAGGCCTGGTCTCAAAAAGGGGCTGTGGCTGTAGCTCAGCAGCAGAGTGC